AATCAATTTTACCTAAATTTTGCATTCATTTTTCGTTCCGAAGAACGGTCATAACTCGGGGTCCAGAGGCGCTTGGCAGATTTGGAAGGCAGATTTGGAATCACCGCTTAATACTCTTCAAAGCTGTATGGGTCTCATCTGGAAAGGCCACTTCGACTCGACACGGTTCCCTTGTAAGTTACCCAGAAATAAAAAATTCCTCTTATTTGATAAACCATTTAAGGAGCTGAAACAGCTTTTTTGAACTTTGTGTCGCTGCTTCATAACTTGAAGTGTATACCAACGCGGCTCTGAGAAATGTCCAAAAAACTGTGTCCAAATTTTTTGAACTTCCCAGTTGCCATAGTCATCAACAACTTGTAAGTTGCAACCTGCTTATTGTTGAGCAGAACAGAAATTTTCAGAATGTGAAAAAAAAAGCTATCCCATCACTTTCCGGTTAGTCTAATAGATTTTGAGGCTAAAGTGTCTTGGTTAGGTGATGTTTTCTTTGAAGTGTACTTTACTTGAAAAGTCTACGTCTTCCAGTTGGTCGCTCAATAGCAGACACATACAAAGAATTATATATATATACGCTTGCTGTGATTCTAGCAGTGCACAAAGTTGGCATATTTCATCTCTAGCACGCCGTATGATTGTGTACTAAAATCTCCCAGAAGCACAAAATAGATATACACGAATCATGACATGCAAAGACTGAGCGTCGTTGCGTCCAGCCGTAATAGTCCTGTAAGGGAGATCTGATGGTAAGAGAAACGAAAGAGCGCACGACCGGAGCAGGGCTCGGCACGAGGTGGCTAGATGAAGATGGAAAAAACGAAGTCTCCCTTGACTTTTGGAAATTTTTACGAAGTCCCCTTTGACCCTCAACCAAACTTCCTCTAAAAACCTGAAAAATTCCCCAAAATCCCCCAAAAAACGAAACGTCGACTAAAAAAAACGTCGCCAAGTCGCCAATTTCGCATCTCTCTTCGCTCACAAAAACGAAACCTCCTTTGCTTTTTGTCCCAAAAACGATATCCAGCTTGCTTGTAAGCCACCTGTGCCGAGCCCTGGACCGGAGAGACGCTGACACATCCGCAGTCTTTGCATACTACAAACCGCCTATACTGTTCCACGCTTTATCTCCCAACATCAAAAACACTGAATAGAAAGGCGACTTCATCGTATATCCGGTCTCTTTACACCGCGATTCAAATGCAAGAATGCATATAATTATATTAGGTCGTTCTAAAAGTAATGTCGCTTTTTACAAATGAACGCCACACTGGATGGAACTAAGCTTTTCATGAGATCTTGGGATTATTCGATGCAGCGTTTTGTGCTCTTTCTAATGGTTGCGATCCCGTCGTACAATATTCAATGAGATCCCGAAAAAATACCAAAACCTGCAACTCAGGCTTTTTGTCATGGTCGAGTATTCGGGTATTTTTTATATTTTTGTAGTGATTCCCCGAAGATGCACAAGTAACAGATAGATAGAGGAAACCCTATAGGACACAAAACAAATTTTTCTTTTCCTTAGTTTGCTTCTTAGGGCCGCATGCACTAACATGGCCGCGGGGAGGGGATCGCAGCTTAAAAGAAAGCTTCATATTTCGAAACTCCAGATACTTGGATTTCACGTTATCTACCTATCCGTAAGTATTCCTACTATCCTTCACTATGAACATGTTGAACAGGAGCGAGAAGCTGTACAAACCGCATTTTCCAGCTTTTGTATGATCCCTGATGATCCCCGGCGCTTTTCTTTAAAGTCATTTTTCTTTCTCCGAAGTTAACGAAAAACTTCCAAAGTTGTGCAGATTATCTAACCCAACAGTGCTAAGCATGTTGCTGATAAAACAAATGATGTTTTGAAGTCATGAAATTTTCGATGATCCACAGGTCGGAATTTGGGGTATACCGAAAAATTCGATTTTTCAAAAACTCATTTGTTCTCATCAGCAACATGCTTAGCACTGTTGTGTTAGATTTTCAGCATAACTTTGGAAGGTATTCGTTAACTTCGGAGAAAGAAAAATGACTTTGAAGAATAGATGTTCATCCCCCAGGGATCATCAGGGGATCCTACAAAAAGCTGGGAAATGCGGCTTGTACAGCTTCTCGCTTCTGCTCGATATGTTCATAGTGAAGGATGGTGGGAGTACTTACGGACAGGTAGACAGCGTGAAATCCAGATATCTGGAGCTTCAGGATATGAAGCTTTCTTCTGAAGCTGCGATCCCCTCCCCAGCGGAAATGTTAATGCATGCGGCCCTTAGAGTTTCTCGAATCAATCTTTCAGTGTTAACAAATTCCATATTTGGTCAGCTCAAATCTCACAGAACAACAACCGACAATCAACTCGGTTGCCATTCGATGCAGTTTTTTCTCCTCTTTTTACCAGTTGTTTTTGGTTTCCGATTCATGAAGTTTCTCGGAATAAAATCATTATAATTCAGGTTTCCCAGGGCGCCCCAGGCTGTACCCGAAGTTTCCGAAAGTTGCTAATCTGAAGCGGTAAACGCTCATTTGCTTTGTAAAATTGGTGGCAAACTATCCACCTTTGTAAGTTTCAAAATCCAAAAATTTATTGGTGTTTGATGCATCTGTGTCTGAGACAAGCCTGCTAAAATTCGGTGAATCCATTGAAAAATCTCTACAAAAGCTATGACGAGCTATGGAAAGTAGAAAAAATTCGTGCTGTTTCTTATAGGGTTTGCTCAATCCACCTGTTACTATAAATCCTTCGGGGGATTGCTGTAAAAATTTAGAAAAATTATGAAACTTGACCTTCTCAAAAAGCATGGGTCTCAGATTTTGGTAGGTTTTTTGGAGCTTATCGGATATTGTGCAATGATCGTATGACCATTAGAAAGAGAATGAAATGCTGCGTCGAATGTCATCAAGATCTACTAAAAATCTTGCTTGCTCGAAATATAGCGTTCACTTGAAAAAACGACATTACTTTCGGGACAACCTAATATTTATCTGTCCATTACATGACGACATACCCTCGATACATAGAGCCACGTACTCTGGTAACCTTCACTTTGAGAGCTATGAGGGGACAGGCGGCGGCCCAGGAGTTCCCAAAGCCTCGCCGCCTTTCCTTGCAAGGGTAGTTAGCACCTCCAAGGGGCCTTCGCACCTTTCAGACGGCTCCGCCCACTTACTCCACCCACTAGCTAATCTTATTCCGAGTTGTGCAGGCTTGGAGAATAGTCCCAATGTGTTCTGCTAAATGAATGGATAATGACGGATGGAAGGTGCCTTTTTTACGTTAAAAAGAAGGTTTCTGTGTTATTTTCTCTAGAATTCATGGCAACATTTCTCGATTAATTTCTTGTTTGACCAAAATCGAGTTCCAGAAGTTTAGGAAAGCCGTTGGAGTTATATAAAAACGAGAAAATGCGCTTAAGTCTTGTGCAGAGAGTCGCGCATGAATATTCTGCTCTATCTCGTTAATAAGTGATTTTCAACACCTGGGACGTTGTCATTTCTCCTCGTCGTGTCATGACGATCAGAATGATATGTAATGTTACACGGTTTCATTGAGAACCCGCGGAGATCCACGAGCAGAGCCAAATGCCCCGTCGGCTCTGGTCTGTCTCCGCTGCTCGTCTGCGTCTCCGCGCGCTGCGCACTACCTCGCTACCCAAACGCGGGGCGCGGGGCATTTAGCTCTGGTACCCTTTTCTTTGCTGTTTCGAACCCCAATTATAGCAAGCTATATATTATTTGAAGCTCTTGGTCTCTATTTTTACGCTGACAACGTCCCAAAACCACATTTTTTGATTTGATCGAGAAGTCCGGCAAAAATTTTGTTCTCGAAAATCTCTTGTTTTTTTCCTAGTTTACTTCTTTTCACGCGGTTTTTTCGTGGATTCTATAGATATCGCTTCTTCTCATAACGCAGACAACCACCCAGCCCTTATCTGTTCGATTATGGTAGAAATTTTTGCGAAAAATCATAAAAAGTGCGTTTTCCCCCAATTTGTTCTGTTTCAGTGCTTTCACAGCGATTTTTTTCCAGCTTGGGCGACCGTTGCTCAGACCAATAAGCGCAACAATCCAGACAACGTTCCAGGAAACGGGAACGTCAATGCGGGGGTGAAAATTTAAAGGACGCATCAAAAATTAAATTTGGCTTCGACGTCCTTTTCGACTTAATAAAAAAGAATCTTTGCGTTTCCAACGCTAATTTTTTTTGTTTATCTTCTTGTTGATGACCACTCCTTCCGAAACATATTTTTTGAAACAATTGTAGGGAAAAAACTTAATTTTTCTTCGCTTTTCCCCGTGTTGCAAATTGCTGGTCCTGGAGTGAAAACTTGCAGTTTGAAAAGCCGCCAAATGAAAGTTTTCAAACCTCATTGCAGCGTTCTTATCCGGTTTTTAGCAATTTCTTTTGCTTTTTACATCTGTTTTACGTCAATTCACCTTCTCTGATATTCTTTAAACAACCTTTACTTTTTATGAGGTCAGAAGCTCAAACAACCTTCACTTTTGACGCCCCGTCTCTAGACTATCGAAGGTATGCATGACAACCTTGAAGTCTCCTTGGATCTTTTGGACTTGGAACTTTTGGTCAATCGGATATTCTTAGATTCTAGCTTGTTATATAGAAGGCAGTCTTGGGATCCAGTGGTCACCCTCGCTTCGGTGTATCGTAGTGCGCTTTCCACTATTTCACACAAGGTTGCATAAAGATTGACGTTATTTTCCCTATGAATGTGTTGCACCCTAATCAGATTGGGAATACCAATTAGTGCTACCAATGCAATAAACTCCACCAAACTTCTCCCACATTCTTGAAGCAAGTTAGTTCCACAATACATCTTTATCAATAACATATTGGCCATACTTTCCATACTTGGCACTTATGATATAGGAAATCATACAATAATGGAATCAAAACAAGACCTTAGCTGCATTATCGAGCTAATCGTATGCATGAAAGTCCTTGCGGGAATAGGATGCCACTAGTTGTGAAATAGGACGCGAACAACCCGCTGCATCTCTCAAAATAAAGAGGTGCCATCCCTAATCCGTGGGAACTTACATGCATACCCTAAGAAAGGCTTCTCATCAACATTACGATATGTAGTACAAAGGACCAGTCGAGTGGAGTGTTTGAAAACAAACCCATGGTGAATAAATAGCTTTCAGTGATACCTGCACACCGATGGAAATGTGCACCCATTTCTTTGAATAATCTCTCCAGCGGCATAGTTACCGCAGGAAACAGCCTCTTCGAGAGTTTTATCTTGGATGTATTGTGATAGAAATCCTGAAAAAGACTGACAGTGAGTGGCGTGGAGCAACAGGGTATTTTCCTGATCGGAGACAAAGTGCGCAATATCTGTAGTCTTAAGAAATAGTAATGAAGAGCAATACGTGGGCAAATGTTCCGACTTGCAATACAGCGTCCGTTCTTCCTCCTGCCCTTACAAAAAACTCGTTTTTGATTTGTTAACCCGTCAGCGACGACGTCTAATTTCGCGTGGGGGCGTTGTGGGACGACGCGATTTTGCAGAACACTTCCGGTGTGGGAAGCTTTTGTGGTTACTTAAGAGATGCAATGTTGTTTTCTAAGCATTTCTAAGCAGCAGCAGCACAAACATTTTCTCAAACGACGGAATTTAGAGGCCCCAAAAGTGCAAGAAAATTTTCAAAAATATTGATGTGTGGAAAAAATATTAAACCTACAATAATATGACTTTGCAAGGGGTGGGGCCAGTGTGGGCCACCGGTGTTCTGCATCGTCCCTGGCAACAAAACCTGTGTGGGCCACGTCCACATCGTTGTCAATGGGTTAAAGTTTTATGAAGTCTCTGCTCCCATTCTCGTTCTTCCCTGTCAATCATGACATTCCTGTTTGGCTATCATTTAGCAAAGGTATGACTGAGCGACGAGCTTGAATATTGTGCTAATGTTATCAAAAACAGCCATACTACCCGAACCAAAAAAATGAGCTCCCCATTTGCTATTATTGTACCGAGCGCGATGTCTAACAAAGTCAGATTTCTCAGTCTCTTCCCGAAAGATATGCTGAATGCGTAAATGACGAAGAGAGCTGCAGATAGGTGAATTCGCACAAAAATTAGGTCGTTCCAAAAGTATATTCGCTTTTTGGAGGACTGCCACATTTCGCAGAACAATTGATAGAAGTGCTACCATTCAATGCATCTTTTCATTCTCTTTCAACATATTATGCTTCTATCGCAGTGCAATCAAGGAGCTCTTGGAAATAACCCAGTTTTGAAATTCATGCTTTATGCCATAGTCAACTTCCTTTTGAAGTGCAAGAGACAGATAAATAGATCAAATTCTATAGGATACAACACAATATTTCACTCCTTTGTATAACTTAGGAGACATTTTTGATAGAATTTTTACTAAAACCACCGCATTTTAGCAAGCCTATCTAGGCATAAACGCGTCAAACACCAAAGGATGTTTGAAATTCGAGGTTCAAAAAGTGGGTCGTAATTCAACACTAGTTCTACAAAGCAAATGAGAGCTCTCGGATTGGAGATATTTGACCTCGAATTTTTCCGGTATAGCCTGGATTTCATTTAGAAACATAAATTTTAATGATTTGAACCGAAAAACTCTACGCATGGAAAAAAAACATATTGGAAAGAGCAGAAAAAACTGAAAATGGCGCCCGGGCTGCCTGTCGGTGTTCTTCGATGAGGTTTTGACCAAATATGAAATTCAACAGCATCGAAAATTGATCCCAAAAGTTTTGAGAATCAGACTATGGAAAAGAAAGAAATTGAGTTAGTATCCTGTAAAAAAATTTGCAAAATCAGCGAAACTTGACCACGGCAAAAATCAGGGTTGTAGCTCTTCGTCGTTTACTGAGAACTGGCTGGATAAGAGGAACAGGGAAACCACAATAAGAGAAGGAAAACTGCATCAAAAGCACCCAGAAGCTTTCAAGGAGCTTTATTTTGAGGGTTGCTACGATCGTCTAAAAAAAGCGAAACTTTCGGAACGACCTTGTGTTAGATTGAACCGAAAGTTCGTTCGCACCAATTTCAAAAATTCATAACTTCTGGTTTTCGAAACGGATTTCCATGTTCCTATTTTTATCTGAAAGAGCAATTCATTCACTTCACAGCGGTGTCTTAGGGGCGTTCTAATGAGCATACACTACATAGATATAAACGGTAGAAAATACTCAAATTTTCGATTTTCTGTGTTGGATCATAAAAAATCTAAAACTTGCAGTAAAATTCGGAGCAGTCGGTGTTATAGGTTTTATCACAAGCTCTTTCTAACTGTGCAAAGTTTGTACTGATTGAGCGTCTCCATGAAAAGTTATGATTTTCGAGCAAGCAATACAAAAGGGCGAATTTGATTTATTTTGGCATTTTTCTCATAAACCATAACTTCTCGTGGAGACGCTCAACCAACACAAAATTTGCACAGTTAGAAAAAGCTGGTAATAGAACCTATAATACCGACTGCTCCGATTTTACTGCAAGTTTTAGATTTTTTAGACCCAATACAGAAAATCGAAAATCTGAGTATTTTTTCCTACCGCTTATATCTATGCAGTGTATGCTTGTAAGAACGCCGCTAAGACACCGCTATGAAGAGAATGAAGTGCTCTTTCAGATAAAAATAGGAACATGCAAATCCGTCTTGAAACTAGAAGATGTGATCTTTTGAAATTGGCGCGAACGAACTTTCGGTCCAACTTAATATATCCGTGACGACATAGTTATCATTGTGGTGTTTTGGAAGGGGACCAACAGAGAAATTATTGACCTTCTTAAATTTCTAAACTTTTCTATATATCTACCTTTTGAAATACCATTGTATGCATGCAGTTCGTCATTCTTATATGATTGCTTGTGATCTGCCGCCTTATTTGATTTTGCGTTGTATTTGAATTTTGCGCGCTTCAGAATTTTTTCAGAAATCAGAGACGATTACTAAGTATATAGTAATCGTCTCTGATGCGATCGCGCTTATATATCGGATCTATTCCTATAGAGCATATAGAGTCTAAGCCTTTTAATTTCTATGCAGAAGCCTGCTTGCACATTGTACAAAAATTTAAAAAATGACAAGCAAGCAAGACAAGTACTACACACCTGACAAGCACTACACACCTATTTGTAATATAAGTTCTGACTGACCTCCCACAAAAGCGTCGCCAGCACCGTTTGTATCAACAATCTTTTCTTTGGCAATTTTTGGCACAGGATGAAGCGTGATTTTGTCTCCAACAGCTACTATAACAGAATCAGCTCCTTGCGTGATGATTACTGTACGTTTTCTTTTTGATACCTGCAAGTAACCTTTTACGCAAACATCAGTCAGGCTGCGTAAGATTTTGATGGAATCACCTTATCCCACGATGCAATCTTGACTGCGATTTCCTCGTTGTTCGTAGTACCGAAGTTTGCAGCCTAAAAAAGCGGTCTCAAAAAACACTTCTTCTGCAGGCTGCTGTACGTCATGTTCCTTCCCAAAATGAAAAATAAGGCGGGAAAGCCGTAGATTTGGTTACCTTAGAGAATGCCGAGGCTTCATCTTCATTGCCGAAAAGAATATCAACGTAGGGAAGAACTTCTTTCAAAGGTTCGAGGAAAAACTGTGAAATAAACGGTGCAGCCAAGTTGAACATGAAAGTCTATAATGTTGAATGTTTATTATTTTATGAAACCTGAATGATCAATCAAAAAGGCTGAAGCACAATTTCAAACCTTATTGCTTTCGTGTGAATGTTTTGCGATGTGCATAATAGATGAGGGTGAAACAGTCAGGAAGAAACCCTTAAATACACTTGTAAGAGAATTGAGCTAAATTTCTACTTCAGGCTCAACACTTCTTTACTAAATGGATGGGAAGATTTGAAACGGAATGATCACTCTAGGAACTTACGGCAATGTAGAAAAACCGTGCTTTCTTTATTAGTGCTGCATTCACATCATCAAGCAGGTGAGATATGGTGAAGGTGTTTGCAGCAGCAAGATGAGCGCATAACGATCTGAAAGCACTGTCTAACACAAGCAAGGGAAGAATAACTTCATCAGAATTCTCGACTAAAGCGCTTCCTTTTGTTGGTCAGAAATATGTTAGATCAGGGCCCGGCACGAGGTGGGCAGACGTGGTTTTCCAAAACGAATTCCCCTTTGACCCTAATAGTTCTTACGAATGCCCCCTTGAGCCCAAAAATGACGCGTTGTGCTTGTGGAACGAGAGCACCGGCCACACTTCGCCTAAAAGCGCTCAAAAGCGCCCAAAATGCTCAAATTTCATTACTCCTCACCTGTATCAAGATAGAAAACAGGAAGAAGAATAAGCAAGGAAAATGATGAAGGAATGAAAAAATATCAAAGGAACGCAGTCATAGGACTGAGAAACGCCGTTCCCGCGCGTATCGATTGACTGGGGCGCGCCTTCCATCTTAGAATGCTAGGCAGCTGATGCGATTTTGGGCTCTAACAAAGATAAGAGGAGGAGTTTCGGAACCAAAATCCCTCCATATAGTAAACTTTAGGTGAACAACAGATTTATGTTAAAATTTCGAAAAAAATAAGTGAATTGAAAGTTTTGCCCACCTCAGGTGGGCATTAGGTGGGCAGTTGCCCACCTAATTTGGAAAAAAGTTAAGCACGCTCTTCATTCACATAAGTTTTTCATAATTTTTCATACATTGTTTCTTAGTCCTACTGCGCGTATACACACCAAGTCTCGAGCGATTTCGTTTTCTCTGCGCTGCAAACGAGCCATTTTTCCATTTTCTGGATAGTGGGAAATTTTCAGAAAAAAGCCTGCCACAACCTTCATTCACATAATTTTTCAATAAAACTTCTAAGATAAGCCCTGCAGGCCAGTGTTCATGTACCTACCAAGTTTCATACCGTATGGTCACCTGTGCGCTGCAAATGAGCCATTTGAATTCACATCTTCATTTACCAGTTTTGCGAAATTTTTGGAAAAAATGCTTATTATACCTCCCATTCACATAAGTTTTTCATAACATTTCATGCTTTGTTTCTACTAGCCTCTCTTTGTTCGCTTACGTAATTTGGTGCTATATCATTACGCCTGCATTGAGAACTGATCATGTAATCATGCTGTTCAACGGCATCGCTTATGCGACGTCGCGCACGCGGCAATTAGCGGCAACGCGGCGTAGTGCGCGCGAAGTCTGCCGTGCGTTGAGGTTTATGAAAACTATTTTCCGATGAATTAGATGTATAAGGTAAGCATGATTCGACCTTCTTTTGCTTGCACTTGGAATCTTCTTCCGGGGCTCCGCCCCGGATCCCGCAAAAACGATACTTTCCTTTGCTTTTTGGCCCCAAAACGATTTCCAGCTTGTCATTTGCCCACCTCGCGCCGGGCCCTGTGTTAGATCACTCCATTTGACATGTTTGTAAAGCAAGAAGCTTTACATATGTGTTTCGAACCGGAAAGTTGCCGACTCGTTGAATTTGACCACCTAAGTTTCTGTTTTTGAACAGTTGTTACGTTATGGTGCGGCAGAACGACCTGCAAACACCACCTGTGGCTCTGGTAAGTCCATAAGCCACCAAGAGAGACAAAGGCGCAGATTTTACAATGAGCAACTATTGAATCACCCAAAATTCATAGAGAACCAAGACTTCTGGAAGGAAGATTGTTACAAAAACTACTAAGAAATTTTGTAGATTTTGTGATGTTCTTAAAGGCAGTGGATCGGCAGAATGGACCCTTCTCGGATTTGGTGGATTTAGGTAGTAGACCTTCCAAGTACACTATAGCCCAAAACTCCACCAGCCCCGCCCATTTCCATTGAGTGGGCGTTTCCATTAAGTCCCTCATTAATGGAAGTTTGAAGTGCGTTTTCAGGACTAAGCGCGCGAATTGGAAGGTGGGGTTTGGGCTACGGTGTACTTGGGGGTCTACTACCTAAGTCCACCAAAATTCGAGAATGGTCCATTCTGGTGATCCACTGCTTTTAAGGAGAAAGCTTTGCTCTATTTGGGAGTAATTTGTTGGCTTCGCATAGCTAATGTACAAAACGAAATGACCGATAAAATGGCTAGAACTGACGCATTGTAAATTCTCGTGATTATTCGAGTGCTCTTCGAAAATTCTGATTAAACTCGACTTTTTAGAAAGAAGAATCAATGCTATAGCGAATGTACCATCTTTCTGAGTCCCTTTTTGCGAGACTTGGCCCCGCGTGAATTTTGTTTTTTTGAAAAAAATTTTGAACTTGATACAAAGCGCTCACTATAAAGCCCATCAATTTTGAGGAATAGTCAGCATCCCATTCGCACTATGCTGAACCATGAGATTTATGTGAAAGAAGAAATATTAGAGGACATGATACAAAATAATTCTTCTGAACATTTGATTTGACGTACCTGTGTTGTCCATTGATAAGCGCTGCACAAGTGCCAGTCTTAACGTCCTCATTGATCTTAATGTTAGAGGTTTAAAGTTTAGATAATATTAGGTCGTTCCGATAGTTCGTGCTATTTCTCGATCCAACAACTGTGAATAAACAAAAACGAAAAAAACGCACTACCATTCAAACAGTAGCCGATGCTTACTTCCTATTCGTAACAGCTATGTTTTCAAATGGGATTCCCTGGCAGTCACTCAAATGATTCTTAAGATTTTGAATCTATTCCAAGAGATGAAACGTGTGCTTTAGGTACTAAAACATCGAACGAGGGGGGGGGTATGGCACGCTAAAAGCGGTGTAGACATTCTGGCGCATTTTAGGCCATCTCAGTTTCCGAAAGTTTACAAAGTCTTATCATGCATTCTGAGAACGGCTGGTGCTCTTCCTCTTACAGCTAAATGTGAAAATGTGAGGTGTAATCGTATATCTACGGGTTGAGAGAACATTACGAATATGTCCGCTGAAACACGACTCGATGAAATGAATCATGATCAACCATCCGAAGAAAGCCTGGATGAAGTGAAAGATGTCATAAGGAAAAACCGGCGCTATTCGGATATCCGGGCCCCAAAGATTTTTCGTCATGGATTTTCCTAATACTTGGCCCAGGGGGTTATTCGGCCAGCTAATCACACATATCGTACTGGTTTTGTACGGTAGCGTCATTTTCTGGGGTTATGGTGGGTATACGGTAAGGGGCCTCGTAACTTTCGCTCAAAATCGGTGTAGGAGGTTATTCGACTCACTGATGCTGAATATCGTACTGGTTTTGTATGGTAGCGCCATTTTCTGGGGTTATAGTGAGTATACGGTAAGGGGTCAAAGTCGTGGATTTGCCTGAATCTTGGCACAGGGAGGTAATTTGACATGCTGATCACGGATATCTCGTTTTACATCACGAAGACGTTTTCTCATGTGGATATGGTAAGTATAAGTAGGGCGTACGGTACGCGGCGAATCTTCTTCCCCTGTGTTTGCTTAGGCTCCCGCCAGAGTGCCGAAGCCACGCCAGCTCTGCGCTGGCGTAGCTTCGGCACTCTGGCGGGGGCCTTAGGCAAAGCCGCCGCAGAGTGCGTCGCGCGTGACGATGGTCCAATGTGAAAGGCATAACGGTAAGGCGAGTCGGTCTACCCCAACCCAAACGCAAAAGTTTTTCAGGCAAATTTGTCATTCTGACCCCTACCGTAAACCTACAGTAACTTCATGAAAATGCCTCATCATGCGAAAAGAGAATGATTTTCGTGATTGGTATGTCGGATAGACTCCCTAAGCCAAGTTTCAGCGAAATCCATGATTTTGGTCCCCTACTGTATACTCACCATAGCCCCAGAAAATGACGCTGCCGTACGAGGTAACCATAGTATTTGGCATCAGCGCATCGAATAACCGCCCTAGGCCAAGTTTCAGCGAAATCCGTGATTTTCGCCCCTCCTTCTCCCCCTCCCCCTCCCCCTGCCCCTCCCGTATACCCACCGTAGCCGCACACAGACGCGTCCTCGCACGGAAAAAACGTGGTATTCGTGATCAGCATGTCAGATAAGCCCTCTGAGCCATTAAGCGAAATCCATGACAAAATTTAAGGCCCGGATAGCGAACAGCGGTGAAAAACCCTCAAAGATTTGATACCTCCTTCCTGTGCTGCGAAAAAAAATCTATCCATATCAAGACAGATTGTATGTGAGCACAGAAGCGAGAAAAATGGCAATCCACTGCTACAACGGAAAATCACGTGCTACAACGATAAATCAAGGCCGGCGATGTTGTGCGCAGAATATGGTCCCTGCATGTGCGCGCACGGTAACGCTCGCGCGTAGATGTGTGACCGCACTACGCGGCGCTGGCCTCGTCAAACGCGTTGTACGTATGTACGGAATAGAAAATTTTATTTCTAAACCGATCCGGACCAAACTTGGCCCACATACACTTCGGGGCGGGACGCGTAGGCTATTCTTCGTTATTGATCGATATCGATTTTATCAGTTTTTTGCAAAGCTCAAGCTACTGCGCTGGGAGTTGGCAGAGGGGGTGGGGGGCGGCATGCCGATTACGAAGGCAAACGGGAATAGAGAACTGGTATGTAAAAGTCTGCGCAGGGAAACGTTGTAGGGGTAGGAACAGGGCCTTTATCGTAGTTTTTGACGGCCGAGCGGAGCCGAGTAAGCCAGCTAGTTTTACTATAAAGGTGAGTTAGCTATCGTCGACTCCCAAGAATATAGCAACGGAGCATTGCCAATGTTTGACAGCGTACAATCGCAGTTTTTGTTAGCTAGAGTAAGAAAAGTTCTACATTAGAATGGAGAATCAACAGACTTAACGCATTCAAGTGTCTGCAAATGATCCGCCTATTATAATCCCGGGAGGTTCGCCTATACCTTTTCTTGTACTCAATACGAAATACAAAGCACCACTCCCTGCTTGCTATTATTGGGTTTCAATATTGCCACACCCCACTGACTTACCTTTAAAGCATTCAAACATCTGTTTTTACTAGTGAACCAGTAATCTAAAGGTGCTGTTTGCAAGAGCGTTCGCTTCCGACCGCCACGCGTTTCTCGCCATTTGCAGAATTTTGAATTGCGCTTATGTTTCCTTTATATACTCGAATCGTCAGAACCGTTAAACCTTTTTCTCTTCAAAATTGAAGTTTTATCCGATATCATCTTTCTAGAATAAGATATGCTGGTTCATAATTTTGATCTCCGGAAAATATGAGCTTACCACTAGCATGTTTTGGGCGCGCTGCCAATTCAAAAAAGGGAATAGTACCTCGTACCAAATGCAAGGAGAGGTGGCTAACTTACTTTTGAAAGAAACTAATCAAGGTTTCCAGATACCAGGCCACGCAAGTCATGAAAATGACTTATCGTTGACTGCTTTTTGGAAACCTCAGATTTCGTTGGAACTTGTTCCACACGGTTATTTGATATGCTAGTTACGAAAACGATACTCGTTATGCTTGGTAGGATTTCTCTATTACGCTTACCGCACGTAGATGATAGGTCAATAACTATCTGACATTGTCAACGAAATCATGTTATCGCTACCATACTATCGCCTCGATTACTACTCCCTTCCCTCTCTTATCCTTCTGACGCATGACCCCGTCACATCATGGCTTCGCGCTAGAGGATGGTTCATTTGAATGGAGGAGAGAGAGAGAAAACAACCGACTTATCGATAGAATCAGGTTGTCACTTTGTCCCGTACGTTCTCCTTCAAGAATGTCTAAAATGGGGTACAGTTCATGTTTGAGCTATTACATTTCAGCACGACTATGTGAGGCGTTTACAATTGATCTTAGTCTGAGAATGAATGGCGGGCGTACATCGCGATTCCAGTTACCACGCAATTTGGCAGTACTCCATTTGTTTATAGCTTGTCGTGAGCACATTTTGAATGCACAAAAAATAGGTCAATTTAGCAGGGTGTTAGAGTCTCCCTTGCGAGAATGGGCGCGAAATGTTGAAAGTCACTTACATGGGATATAAAAATGTGCAACTGACTTGTTTATACTTGTAAAGGCTAATTTTTAAGATTCTTTCGAAATTCAAACTCGCTTTCTGAAAAAAAAAACTTTCAATGTGTGGCTAGCGCCACGCACCTCCATCCGAAAAAATTTTCGTCGCCTTCCCCCACCCCCCCCCCCCCCTCCGCTGCCACGCACTTGTGGTCTGCGAGTACTAGATTTGAGGATATTTGGCAGATGGCCATGTTCGTGACGACTGATATCGCGACTCGCGAGAGATATGCCGGAAGCTTGTAAGCTCCAGATCAATAACAAAGTTAGCAAAATATGATAACATACTTGATATCGAGCATTCACTCCAGCTTCTTTTGCTTTTTCTTTCAATAGATCACCGTACTTATCCTTTCCTATAGCTCCAAAAAAAGCAGTACGGTTTGGAGCGTTGAGGATCCACTGTAAAAGGCAAGTAAAAACAAGGAATTCTGTTTGACGTTGTGAGGTATGGTAAAACAGTACCTGGCACACTCTGATAGCGTTCTGCGTGGCTCCACCTGGTAGGTATTCAACTTGATATTTTTCGGATAGTTCTTCAAACCTTAATAATAGTTTGAACATCAAATAATCAATTAGTACGGAATTGCACTGTAGCCACAAAATCAACATTATCGAGCAAAAGAAGGATTAACTCACATAGCAATGTGCTTATCATCGCAAAGAATTGCATCGTTTTCCTTCAGTCCCCATCTGTCCAAGAAGTCCTTAATTGACAGTTCGTATATAAACCAAAACACGAAAATGATGCGCCAAATTCAAATTCTAATGGTCAGTGATAAAGTCTTGCGAACGACTTTTTTGATGTTGAAATGTATAGGTTTTTGGTAAGGGTAACATCAAAGATATCTTCATGCAGACTCAAGCCAGTATAAAATAGGTTATGTGCTTACCTTCTCTTCTTTCTCTGCCTCTAAAATATTTCATTATCTTGCCCGCGTGCACGAAAGCCTTTTCGGTTAGGAATTGGTAAAATTTCTCTCCCCTCACCACAGCATCCCTGACAACACCTCAAAAATGCTGGTAAGTGTAAGATTAGTGAAAGAGTAAAGCCTATTGGCAAACGAAAGGCGGCGGTCACCCCTTGTCTCCTAAAGTTTCATGTAATCCCTTAATTTCACTTGTCCAAAACAAGCAAAGAATCAGTATTCTTTACATGATTCCCAATAAAGGGCAGTAAGATTAACACGTACTTTTCCTTACCATGAAAGCGGGCTTATTTGGTCTTTGCTGCGCTGTGATTTGATCAAGCTGCTTCTTGGAGAGATCTCGTAGCCATTATACTAGCGCTTGTGCAAAACTACCTTGTTCAGCTGCCAGCGTAAATGAGGGAATATGTGAGTGTGAAACGAGACATTTTTGACCCCAACTTTATTGTACATACAGTAAGGGCTATAAGCGAGACAAAGGCTCCCTATCCCTTCCCTTGTTTTTACGAGATACGAAAATTCTGGATAATGTAATGTTCAAGAAGCAGAATCGAAGAGAGCATGCACTTTGGGTACTTGGCGAAGGTGCTGCACTTACTATCTGTGCGTGGACTGAAATAGCCTTTGACCAATATTATTAAGATATCGTCAGGCTTTCTGCCTTATTAATGCGATCACTGTACTCAAATACAGTGAAGATGATTACACCATCAGATATCAATTGTCACATGATGAGTTGCATGACCACAATCTGACTCTGACAAAATCCTATGTTTTGAAATATCTCATGGGGCTTGGTATACTACTTGCTAGAGCAGAGCGAGGTCCACAGGAAAACTTCCGTATATATGCATGGTCCATTTTAAAGAAAAAATTCATCTCCAAAAAGTTGACTCTCCGCATACCTTCGATAGTCTAGGGACAGGGCGTCAAAAGTGAAGGTTGTTTGAACATCTGACGTCAGAAATAGTAAAGGTTTTTTAAGGAAGATCAGAGAAGAGAAAATGACGCAAAACAGATGTAAAAAGCAAAAGAAACTGCTGAAAACCAGGTAAAAACGCCGCAACGAGGTTTGAAATCTTTCATTTGGCGGCTTTTCAAAGTGCAAGTTTTCGTTCCAGGAACAGCAACTCGCAACACGGGTTTTGATTTTTGATGCGTCCTTTAACTTTTTACCCCCGCATTGACGTTCCTGTTTCCTGGGACGTTGTCTGTATTGTTGCGCTTATTGTTTTGAGCAACAACTCAGACAATCGCAGGGGGCAGGCGGTCCGCAAACTCGCGTTTTTCTGCAGGCGCTCAGCAGAATTTTGGGGCGTGGCCAAATCTTCAGCGGGCGGCACTTCCTTTACGGTCGCATGTTCTGCCAGCGGGCAACAATACAGATTTCTGCGCTCAGCAAGTAATTTCTTTCAGCGAGCGCTGACTAAACTTTCAGCAAGCGCTAGGACTCTTTTAACGCAGTTTCGGGCATACGCCGAGTAGAGATGAGACTCTAGGTATCAGAGGTGTCATCGATGGTTTAATTGCTCAAGTTTGAGATACCTTCTTTCAGCGGAAGGTACCTACGGGCTGTGCGGTCCTCAATATTTTTGCATATTCTCGCGGGAAGTCCGCGAGGATGCGGCCACTGCGCCGCAACTAATCTTTAGAAAAACCACGATATTTTTCCGAGAATTCCTTTAAAAATTGGCCAACATTCTTTTAGATTTCTGCAAGCGGACCGCATGAAATCAGCGAACTATTTTTTTTTCTTGTGCCCGCTCGCTCAAAATTCGCACGGCCGCCTACACAACCTTGAAGTCGTAGTCAGGATGAATGGAAGGGGATCGTACACAAAATCGGTAATGTCAAAAAGCGAAGTGTTGAAATCAACTACGGTGAAGGGAGAACGGAACTTAGGAACCGAAGCCTAAATAGCTCGATTCGTGGAGTGCCTGCAGGATACAGTCATGCTCGCTATCTCCGATTGCTACCTAGGACATGGCGACAATCTACCCGCCCCACCCCCCTGAGAGCCTGTTGTGGAGCCTGGCCAAGAAATCTGAAAAGTCCTAATTGAACTTCAGGTCACTGAAACTGGCTCTTAGCCAAAAACCTTGAAATGGCCGTACGAAGGTGAAATTAGGTTCAAACGAAAGAGAAAAACCGTGCCGTCGTTACAGCATATGTGCTGCTCGAAAAACTGATGTAAAATGGCATATTTTTTGTTCAAAATTCTATTTTTGTGTCAAGTTCAGACAAAACACTGGAAACTTATTTTAGAAATTCTCAAGCTCTCCAGAAATGATTTATTTGAGTACTAAACTCAAGTTGAATAGGCAAAAGACTGAGAGATCATTTGAGAAATGACAGCTCAAAAATTTCAGTACTGATATTGCTGATCAAAGATGGTCTGTCAACGACACGACTCTGCTGTGCGAAGAACATCAGGCAAAAATGCTGTAAGCAATGACCTCAACCTACGGTAAGAAAAGATTGAAAGTACAGTTTGAGGCGAAATTTCCCTTATAAATGATAGCGTAAAGTATGAAAATTACTTGTCGTTACCATCGATAATCTCAACTTTTATTTTTATCTTCTTTCCAAGTAACTCTGATAGTTATGAGAACTGAATGTCATTTCTCAAATATCTTTTACCCGACTTTCGCCACATGAATGAACATTATTTTGAGAAGTTTTTGTACTTTCACTTCTTGAATAATTTTTTAGTCTTTTGCCCAAACCTCAGCACGCAAATAAACTTTTATTATTGTGAAGAACCTAAACTGTCATTTCTTGATTGATTCTTAGTCTTCTGCCCGAATTTTAGCACTAAAATAACTATTTTTTGAAAAGCTTGAGAGTTTCTTAAATAATTTTCCAGTGTTTTGTCTGAATCTGACATTTGAATATTTTGTGAACAAAAAATGTCATGTTCCATCAGTTTTAATCATATATATGCTGCAACCGACGGCACGATTTTTCTCTTTCGTTCGAACCCGATTTTACCCTTGTACGATCATTTCGAAGGTTTTTGGCTAACAGAGGCAGTTTCAGCGACCTGAAGTTTAATTGGAATTTTCAGGATTCCTCGGCCAGGTTCCACAACAGGCTCTTAGGGGGCGGGGCTTAGATTGTCGTCATGTACTAGGGAGCAATCGGAGGTAGCGAGCATGACTGTATTCTGCAGCTCCCCGAGTCGGGGTAATTAGGCTCGGGTTCCTAAGTTCCCTCACCCACGGTGAAGAAGAGAAGCTGGCTAAAGCTAGACCTGTCACTGTCATATCCTCGAAGATTAAAGGCAGTCTCCGGGCAAAAAGTCGATTTTGAGATTTTGTGCTTACCCGGGCCTATACACTATGCTGAATCCGAAAATCCACATTGGAAAGCGCAAAAACGGCAAAAAAGGGCTCTAATGCAGGAGGGAAATCGAAAGTGGGCGGGGTCCTCCCCACTGTGAATTTCGCAGTGCCAGCTTGTGGAGCAATCTTCCCAATTCCTCTAGCACCCTGAGATCTCCAACGGCCAGGTGCGAATGCATGACTTGAAATCGGAACCGAGAAGATCGCTCTGGAAGCTGGGAGCGTGAATTCACAGTGGGGAGGGCCCTGCCCACCTGCTGATTTCCCTCCCGTGTTAGAGCCGTTTTTCGCCGTTTTCGCGCTCTCCAATGTGCATTTTCGGATTCAACGTAGTGGAATGGCCCGGGTAAGCAAAAAATCTGAAGATCGAGTTTTTGCCCGGACACTGCCTTTAAGGACAACACTGATTATTGTAAACAGTATGGTTTTAAACAGTATACCGAATAACTCCACTTGCTCTGCAAATTCCCCTCATCATCATTTTTTACCGTACACCTACCACAAGCTCACCGAAAAGGCCTGCTTGAACAGCGTGGTTGCAATTAACCTGTCAAGTTAACCCCAGAGTATCATTTGTCAATCTGTACCAAAAATTACAATATATATCACTTTCAAATAGTGAATTGCACGCGAACGCGGCGTGCACGTATCCTCACCGTTGTGAATCCCTCTCCTAAGATATAGATAAGCACCCAAAGATATAGCCCCTTCGTCAAGCAGCAGCCTAAACTTAACTCACCTCATTACCCGCAAATCGCTTCAGTTTTATAAGACTAATTAGCTAAGGACCTGTTTAGCCTTGTCAGGAGATTGGCCTCGAAATCTATTCTCGGCAACATTATGGCTTTTGAAAGTGTTGTGTCACTTTCGAAATGTCATATCAAATTGTGTCTACTATACTCATGTCCAATCGCAGACACTTGAACGTATAGAATTCAAAAAATAAGTGAATTCTCGAAAGATGTTCATTTGTTCTGAAAATTTGATTTTATGAGGTTCTAGAGCTGAAGTGGGGGAATAAGGGGTGTTCAGATAGATGCGTAAGGGGCGGAAGGGGAAGGAGGTGTTTTCAGAAGCCTAATCTCTCGCCTTACCCTTTTATTGAGAGTTCATTTCAACCTTTCGGTAATAATGCTGCTTATATAATATATTAGATTGCAAGAGAATGCGCTTCTTATTTCTGTAAAATAGAAGAGCTGCTAAATTTGCTACAAATGTTCATTGATCATCGTCCTCTGATTCGCTGTCTTTCAAACGCTCAAGTAGATTTTCAGAATTTCGCAAGTAACAGTGGAAATTCCCAAGGGAGCAGCAATGGGCGTGGCAGGTTGAGGAGGGATAGCGCTTGTTCTCAGGACACTTGTACAAGGTCAGCGGATGTTTTAAGAATCTAGCACTATTGCTTCCTTAAAATCTCTAGGCTGGCCACTTCAGATGAAAGGTGAATTGCTGTAAGTGTTGAAATGGTCAATGCCTGGTTGGATCAGACGATAGATGTCATAATTTTTTATTATCTTAAGTCAGGCAACTTCAGACGTCAGGAGAGCGCCAGCAAAGGCGAGACAACGCTTCTGAAGTGTCTACTGAGCTCTAGACTTCTCGCATTTCTACCTTAACCCATAGACAAAGACATTCAATTTGCGTGTCACGAAGCGATATTGCGCAATATATTCGGGTTTTTTTGTGATTATCGTTGAATTGTTGACCGCACGGACTGCTCAAACGTTGCAGCGTTTTCGCGGCGCGGCTGAAATGTTCCAAAGCAAAATTGTACAATGGCAACTTTGTACTAGGGCAAGCGTTTTACCCTGCGGCGCGTGCTCCGCAGTGTTGTCCAGTGCGTGCGGACAACGAATCAAAGATAAGATCATGTAAGATCGTTTCGCCAACAATTGTAACATTTTCTTGGACGACGGCGTGCGCAGTCCAATAGCCCCGTCAGGTGCCTAGTGCAAGAATTAGGTAAAAGTGCTAAACCTGCTAAGAATGTGCTTCGCAAGAGATGTGGGCCACCGGTGATTCACATCGTCCCTGACAGCAAAAAGTGGATGGACCACCGTACCCATCGTCATCTGGATTAACAGAAGAGTAGAGATGGAACACAATTGTCTTTGATGGAGAAAATCTATATACCCATAAAAGTCAAAGTTTGTGCATCTCTGGACCGTATGTTTTTTATAGACTCTCTTGCGCGTGAATCGACTGAGCTGAGACTTTGCGCACCGTGCAGGTGGATATAAGCTGCGAGACCGGAGAAGGAAAGGGGGGGGGGGCAGAAATGCAGAAGATGGAAGCGGGATGAAAGATGGAAAGGGCGTAGCTTTTGAAGCAGAACACATATTTTATGCGCTCTCCCTCCTTCCTCCGGCTCCGTGGCTCATGAACCGAGCAAGACCGGGTATACCAGCTAATCTATATATTTATATAAAACTCAAAATTGTCAGTTTGGAGGGTATGTGCGTTATAGAAACCGCGCCGCTCAACCGATTCAGCTATAACTTTGCACACATATGTTTTCGACCCCTGCGCAGATGATAGGCTACTTTTTGCGGCGATTCGTTGGGTTCTCGTTCTTCTAAGTAATTGAAGGCTTACCATATTTAATCAAGCATTTTCCCATAATCATGTAGAGGAGGGCGGTGAAGCTCAATTTCACAGCACCGCAGGATCACGAGGATGCGGTTTCGAAGCGGATGTCCCAGGGTATGTCATCCATAACATATAAGGGGGGGGGCTTGCAGTGCAGGTGAACAATAGCCCGGGCTGGACGGGAATGCCAACTAGTAACTGAATAAAATGCTGTTGCGAGGGAAGAGTCGATAGAAAGCTTAGAGGAATCTAAGGTGCTGCCGTAGAATGTGCACATTTTCCAACATTTCTACACATTGGTATGTTACTGGTATTTTCCGTCATATTTCAAGAAAACTGTCCCAGTTCTTTGCTATATCACCATGTTTGTTGCTAAACTAAACTCATTTGAAAATGTGAGAATCGAACTTGGAAAGATGTACACTAAACTAAACTCCTACTCTACATTACGGCGTGACGCTGATAAACCCCAAAAATTATTGGTAACTGGGTCGCCTAATCCCAAGCATGCAGGGAAAGTAGAGCCGCAAAAAAGGTTGAAGTTCCCCAGGAACATCCTGCAGCAAAGGCCTTTGCTGCCTTTTGCCCAACCGCCGGCAACTTCGATGTTACTGGCATGATGTACTCGTACTATCTGGACACACAAGGGTTAAGCAGGCATTTTCTCTAATGGAAAAAGGCTTTCATTATGTTCAAGAAACTCACTTTTTCAACGGTGGCTTGAAGGTCAAGCAAAGGGTTACCACAGCCAAGGAGAACATCTTCCGGGAGAGTTGCCATTACAAGTCTGATGGATGTACTCTTAAACAGAGAATCAGATAGTCTACAGTGCACAAGCTGAATACAATAGCCAAATTTTACTAACAACAAATTGGTGAGACATGTAAGCCACGTGGTGTAGAACAAAAAAATCCGATCATCAGGAATTGCATTATATGAATCAAATGAATGATAGTGTGATGCACTGAGCTACACTCTGTATCTCGTGCAATAAGTGATAGGTGCCGATGGTGACCTGATGATGACCTAAGTGTGAGCCTGTGGTGAGAACAACCCTTATATGTATTGACTGCTGTATTGTTGGTTTCTACACACCAAACTTTGTATGTCATGCATTGATGTAAGTAAATTCAATTCCTCGCAGACATTCATGCCGATTCTGAAAGTGTACCATGTATGTTTGCGCGCACTGTAAAAGTTTGAAGGTCAAGTAGTATGCACAGATGAATGGACGGTGCAGCAAATGTCAGCATTTTTTGTTTGTTTTCCCTGCAGCGAACTCAATATGGTTTTGCCGGACCATGATTTCTTGATGCTATATTAATCTCGACTCTTCCTACAAAAGACATAGGTTCGGAGCTTACAGTCAGATGAAGCACAGAAATGCATCACTGCTGAAAAGCAGAAAAATGTGTAAAAAACCTCCCGGGATACCAAGTCAAGAGAGGGCAAGGACTGAACGCTATCGTTAAATGTCTTCTGCGCAATATTTTTTGCGACTTTCACTTTGCCGTATAATCAGTGATTATTTGCTGGATTTAGCGCTGACGATGCTTTCTGCTTAGCCACTCAGAAACTAGGAAAAAATTCACTTCGCTAAAATACTTATTATCTGCTTTTGATGACATTCAAAACTTTACATTGAATTCAACATTACGACGTCTCGTCTATCTCTGTCATTCTGAAAACCAACAAGGATTGCATTATTTCAGTTTTCAAAATTAGAGAAAGAAGGAATCGCCCTCTCTGATTGTATATCCGCGCAAATTTTGAATGCGCTTCTTATTGCATTTACTGTGCCCCACTCTTTCTGCTTAGTCAACAAATTCAGATATTGAACTCCTTGATGACTGCTATCAACGCAGTGAGGATTTATTTGCACTTTTAGAGTCTTCCATGTGTGAAGAAATGGGGATGGCATGGAATGACAAGACTTTGCAGTATCTTGAATGCTTATGAAAGAATGGCGGTGTAGCAGGAGTTCCTAAAGCCTCGCCGCCTTTCCTTGCAGGGATACTTAGCGCCTCCAAAAATACTCGAGACATCATATCTTCACAAGGCCGAAGGTCGGCTCTCCCATTGCTCCGCTTACTGTAATACTATATTAATACTATGCCATATTACTATAATAATTGCGCTCATTCTGAATGATAAATGCACAGTGAAATCCAACCTTGTATTTGTGAGCGTGAGCAGCTCAAACGATAAATAATTAATTTGGGAAGTGCTTTCAGGTTTCTTCAAACTTCAAAAGCAAAAGTGATTGCAGCTGAATTGCCAGAATTTTGAGCTATTTAGTGTTAGTCCCAAACTCAAAAACTTAGCTTTTTTCGGACAGCTTTATCCCCTAACTCGAGAAGATTTGTTATGCTATATAGATATTCTAAGACAAGTGATGAGTATGCGAGTGGTTTAGCCGCTCACATAATGTAAGACAATGTACCAAATTCACAATGCCTCAGTTTTCATTTTCTGAATTAATTTGTGTAGATTTTTGCCAATTAAACAATATTGGAGTAATAAGATCTCTGATTTTACCGGCGACAAAATTAAATCGAAGCACATCAAAACGCTCTCGAAGATCCGAACAATGAAAACAAACTCAATAGCAACAAACAGGATGCAAACATTCAAAAGATTTTGAGAAGTTATACCAATCATTTGTGGAGTAATTTCGGATATAACTATCCAACAATCGTTAGTCCGGAAAAAGTAGGGTGCTGCAACTATTCTCTCTATTCCATTTACGCATGAGTAAGCAAAAACCATTACTGTAATTCAATCTCGAAAAAAATTTTTTTTGATGGATTTCAATCTCACATAGTGTGCTTGTGATGGAAGAAAAGTATGCTTTACGAGTACGATTACGAGAAGTACGGCTGGATTGAGGACATACTCCTATGTTCTACATACCTTACCGCGCTACAGTTCTGCTTTTTTGTTTTTTCCTTCATACTTTTGTATCACTAGTCATTGCACTAGTTTAGTGCACAACGAAGATAATTAGTAGGTGGAGCAATGGGCGGAGTACGACCTCGAGCGGAGGTGCTAATCTCTTTGGATAATTGTCGAAAAAAGCGGAGAGTAGTTATCCATTTGCATGGAAATTATTTGCTCTAGTTATTGTAAATATTCGGTGCTGATAATTAGAACAATTTAAGATTTGGAAGAATGAAAAACTTTGAAATACTAGCCATTAGACTTGTGCCATACCAAGAAGTGGTGGAGAAAGCAGAGAACTACGAAATCATGATATGAAATTTTTTGAACAATGCCTGCCAACATTACAACTTATCAACAACTGCGAGAGCAGCGGGAAACGAATGTGATAAGCAAACGAAACAATCAATGATGTCACTGAACCTTCTCGTTCGTGGTCGAGGAATTTGGTCATTATTTTCAATTCCACAATAGCGTAATAGGTTAGCATTAGCTGGATGGTTGGGCTGCAGCAAATGCTCAATCACTGATAGAATCGCGATTATTACGCCCATAATATCTTATGAATCTTGGATACTCCTTTATCCTATAGTGATGTGAATTACGTCGCCGCCTCATCTTCGCAGTGAAAGGTGTAAACTGTACAAATCTTTAACTACACGCTTTCTTGTTCCTAATTTCAAAAAAAAAAGCGAGATTGGATAGCGCTTGCAAATGTTGGAGGAGTATGAATAATGACTGTCTGCTAACTTCCTCATTCCGGTCCAAAACATATTTAGGCGAAGATTTCTCTGTTTTTGCAATCACAGCTGGAGTCAAACTTAGAAGAGCACTGTATTTGATCTATTCATGTACCTATATCAACTGAGCTCTTTTGAATGTGACTAAGCAAGCTAATTTTTATACCATTGACAAATGTCTACTTGTAAAACAATCAGCGCTTAAAGTGAAATGAATCGCGGTGTAAAAACGGAGTTTTTCCATCTGTGACAAGGCAAAAGGTTGCAATGTGGCCGTACGCACGACACCCATAAACTAAATGCGCCGCCTGGCGAAAACGATCAAAAGTCGTCGAGGTTGCGCTGCTCGATAACACCTCTACATGATGATCACTGAAATCGCTCGTCATAGTATTCCAGCAATGTAGTCTTTGATTTAAAAAAGGTGGGCAGTGCCTATCTGATGTGCAGGGTATTATATACACAGCAACTTATAACTTACCCCATATTTTTGAATTATAGGTTAGCTTAGCACCCAGCTAAAACGACTTTCTATACAACTCTTTTGTATGTGCCGTTCATTCTTTGTTGTATTTAGGTCATGTAAGCTACGAATGCAGCCAATTCTGCGGAATTTCGCCATTGCATGTCAGAGTTACGGTGGTTTACGGTAGGCGGAAACAATCGCAGATTGCTTCCGATTCTGGTAAGAATCCCTTGAAGGAATTACTCGACGCGCTAATTACAAAAGTAATACCCATTCTGCATGAAATATTATCTTCGTAAGGTTCAAGTATGATCTTTCAAGATAACGGCAAATGGATATGACATTTGTGTTCAGCATTTCCATTGTGCGAAGTCTCGGCAAATTCTGATTCGTCGCTTAGTTATATGTGTTTCAAAATTTCGCCTTTAACCTATCCAACTTTTCTAGAGAGCATTTTGATTTGTCTTCACTACCATCTCTTTTATTTACTGAACTGAAAGTCGAGTGCGAAGATTGGTTGTAGTTGAGCACGTATGAGAAATTGCGCCTTAGTATTGACTGGATGTAGAAGAAGTGAAATCAGTATTAAAAGTGGTGATTGACACTTATGGTGCAAAGCAAAAAAATTTTAGTCTGCATTTTATTCGAGAGTGAATGCGGAAAGTGCGGTCCCCTGGCAAAGCATTGTTCTTGCTTCTGCTATGAATGTTAAAGGAGGTGTCCGGGCAATTTGGAGTGGGATTTCAGTGCCACGCGAAAGTGACCCTTCTCGGACACAACATCGCGCAAGTGCGAGGCCTTAACGCTCGACCTGAAGCAAGAAAAACAACCAGAAAGTGGGGAAACTTACGCCTTGGGGCGGGGTCCTCCGAGCTGTCCGAATTCCTGCTATGCGGCAGAGTACGCATGCCGCCACAGTCAAAATTATAGGGTCCCGCAGGGACTCTGCGTCTCTGCCTGGCGAGGACCGTCGGATTTCAAACTGTAAGGCTTTGGAAAACGCACGTTTTCGCCGTTTTCGCGCCTTCTAATGTGGTTTTAGGATTCAGCGTTGCGGATAACCCCCGGTAAGCGGATTTCTAAAAATTAAGTTTTTGTCCGGGCACTGCCTTTAAGAGTTCGATTAAGAATGTGTTCGTATTGCTACCATTGAGCACTTTAGTGATCTTGATGCTGTGTACAACTCATAATTTCTTATCTTCGGGCATTACTTATTGGGATTTCCATGATTTTGTTTCATGTGACATTAGACACAATGTTATACAAAAGCAGATCAATGTCAGCAAAACGCAGAAGAACGAGGACGAGGCTCGCATCAGCTGTGTAATCAACGTAACAAAAAACGCCAACACAAAGCATTAGGCCTAGGGCATACCTCCCGCGATTTGGCAAAATCGCTATATCCCCGCGACTTGGCCATTTGCCAGATGTCTACTGATTAACCATGCGCGGCTCTCAGATGCATGGGCGCATAGATTTCGTAAGTTGTACCAGACGCAGCAAGTCTGGTCCAAGCAAAGTGTGTTTACCATCAGCTATGAAGAGTTCTTGCAGTGGCAGGTCGCGCAGCGACTAGAATCGCTTGAGGTATGCCTTAGGCCTTAGACTGACTAAGAAAGTGATTTGAGTAAAGATGACCCATCCAGATGTTTTTTATACCGTTTTGGAAAACATCAGATGCTTGCTCCAATTTGTACTTGCTGATGTGTATTATCGCACACTGAGTTATGAATATTTTTTGAAAAATTGAACGCAAAACGCACATAAAGACAACCGACGCTAAAAGAAAACAGCAGTG